TACTATATTACTTTTTTTGGGAAAACGAGCCTGTACTGAATACATGTACAGTGGCTCTTTGTTTTATGGACAGAGTCCAAAGACAGTGTTCTGCTAAATTTGGCCTTCATAATCTTCCTTGAGCAAAGGATGTGACAAAATATATGAATTAAATGCAAATTGGGAGTCTTAGCCAGTTTTTCAATTAAATTAATTCAGCCAGTGTTTACAGAACGGCATGAACTTCCAGGTTTCTGTAGATAACATCACCTTATGTTGTTTCACTGTTTTTAAGAACAGTGCAGAAACTTGTCGTATTGCTTTGGATGGAAATGTAAAGATGGTGTCGCAGTCAGTCATTCTGATACCACAGCCAGAAGTACACACAGGAGGTGTGGCTAGAAATAAATAATACTCATGTAGACTTAATTGCAAATAATATTAAAGATAACAAATCTTCTCATCAGGATATTTAACCAACCTATTTGTCACAGGCACTAAATGAAGGAATAATGTCGCTTTTGCAAATCACTTTTTGCCAAACCTCGCTGCGCAGTACACATAGAAGGCAGGACAGGAAACCATCAGCAGTCAAATTTTGGTAGCAAAAGTGTTGCATCCCTTGTGAGACGTGGCTGTTGTCCCGTAAGGACATCCGTGGGAACAGCTGCAAAGCTGCTGGCCTCTGTTCCTCTCTTCTGACATTTAGCAAAGGCCTCAGTTAAGATCCCCTCTTTCGTTCTGGTGATCTGTACTCTGCAGCAGTGTCTGCCAGCATTTCCCTTATAAACGCCCTCTACAGCCAAGTCAAAAGCCAGGAATATAAAAATTCACGCTTGGCAAATGTGTGACGTACCAAATCTGTGCTTATTGGTGATCGCATCCAGAATGTATTCAATCACTCTCCTGTGCCATACTGCACTAAGAGAACACTAGAGTGGAGAAGGTACACCTGGATGTATTTTATAACATCAAGTTGAATTCCTTCTTTACACATCATTCGCATTGCACAGTTTAAAAAAGAATAATTCTATATTAAATTTGCTAGAAAATGGAGAATTTGGCTCTTCATATTGCTTTGTGTGTATCTATAACATACATATTTTTCTGTTTGTGAAATCACTAAAATAAGCATAAAATTAGAGATGGCGCAGACTTGTCTGAATTGTTTCTACCTTGTCATAATATTAAACAAATTTTCATTTCTTCCGTTAGCAGGTGTGAGGTAGGGTAATGAGTAAAACTGCAGGGCTATGCGTGCCTTTTCATTGCAGTGTGTGGTGTTTCTGACGTCCTCTGAACCAGGAGAAGAGCTGGGGGGGACACAATTAAGAGCTACTTCTTACTTTTCAGAAGAGTCATCTCTACCTCTTGCCCAAATTCCTGAGAGGTCTTCGGTAGAAAAAAAGGTTTCCTATACGGCATGAAAATTTTTTCTCTGACTTGTTCTTCTTTTGATATAGAAACAAACAGTACCCCTTTATATTTTACTCAGTAGGCCTTTTTTTAATTATATCATAGTTTTCCTTCATTATTGTATTGATCTCCCTATAGCGCATGAGTTTTATGACTCTTCACTTTTGTTCTATGCAGTCTTTGTTTGTCTTTCTAGATGTGGAGTACAATTTTCAGAGGGACTATAGTGCTTGGGGATTCTGAATTTAATTTTTAAATATGAGCTAAGAATCAGAGTCCCATAGCAAGTCAGAAAAAAAAAAAAAAAGAAAGAAAACTGCTGACTGTCTTGCTTCTTTTTCCCTTCTGCAAACAATTTGACTCTTTCCGCCACCCCTCCGTCTTTCCTTTTGTGGCCTGAGTATTTTGATTTTTACTGGGGACTGTTAGCTGTGGAGTTCATTTTTGTGTTTCGCTTGATTGCAATTTATTGTTTTGCTGCTCTGTCCCCTGGGTTAAACTTACTCATTACTTTGAATCAAAGGCACCATGCAAACAAATAAAATCTAATCTAATATAATATTCTGCTCTAATGGATTCCTTACAGTCTCTCTTCTTGGCAATCCTATCGTTCCTATCTTAAGCTCGAGCAATGAAATCAAGGTGGCTGTTGCCCAGAAGGGCTACTGTCTCCTTCGCCTTACTCGTATGCACAATGTCAGAGGAGGGCAGAAGTCATCGCTTGCTTCTCCGAGAAAGTGATTTGTGATGTACCACTGGTCGCTTTTCAAATCCAGCAGTCAATAACTGGTGATAGATTATTATTTGAAGTAATAAGCTTGCTGTGGCTAGACCCTGCACCACTAATATAAAAATATGCCGCAGCAAATGTTTGACATGATCCTATCCAGCATCTGTCTATGCTGTAGCTAATACTTACAAATTGTGTTTATCTGTCCAGCGTGTAACAGTGCCCCGCTTTTCCTACGTCTTCATTGTCTTTGCTGCTGTTACTCTGCTAGGCTTTCCTTTCTTTCAAGTGAGGAGCGGATCATCTGAAATTTTGCTGTGTTTAAATTTTCTAATCCTCTTTTCTTTCTATTTCCTTTTTTTAACTGAGTTTGTTCTCGTCTGCAAAATATTCCTTGAACCTAACAAGCAATGTTATTTTGCTGGGGAAATAATGGAATATTTTATTTGTATGCGACTTAAATGCCTTGTATTGGAAGAGTTCTTTCTTTATTTTTGGGTCCTCTTCCTGCAAGTTAGTCAATTTGCGCTTCCTTACACGTGTTACATCCCCCCCTCAGAGCACTAAGGTATCAATGTACAGCAGTCTCAGTGAAACGCGGCCGCTCTTTTCGTGCCCTCCACCCCCTCTTTCCATAACATTCAGGCATTTGACCTTCATCAAGGAAGGACATTTATCACCAGCACCGTCTCACCATCTGTTAGGATACTTGTCCTCTGCGGTGCATGTTCTTGTAAACGGAAGCATTACGGATCACTTTAGGCTTATAACCCACGTAAACAGTTATGAAGGGTGTTGATGATAACTCAAGGACTCATACACAAGAGTGTTGCAGTTTGTAATATGGTTAAAACAGGTATCACAAATCACCCTTAATAGTATTTTGCTGTTACTATCTCAGAAATGTTTGTTTCTTTAGGTCTCCCCTATGGTGCAAACGTCCATGTTTTATTCTCAGGCACAAGGCAAACCTGTTGTAGGCCTGATGTTTGCAGTTATACGGGTCTCCAAAGTCTTAACGCTGTCATGTTTATAGGCATTTACAGAGAATTAAGGTGTTTATTAATGGGTTTTATAGCTGAGAAATGTGTGTTAGCTTTGAGGCGCAGCCTCCTTTGTGCATGGAAAAGTTGATCCGCGGTGCTGCCATTTGTTGCTGGATTGCATTGCAACAAGTTGCCTTGGGCACCTTCGTCTTCTAGCCTGCATTTTTCCACGTGTGCCACAGTACTTCAGCTCTTTGTGTGTTGTCATGCTGTTGGAGGAAATGCGTCCATTTGTTAATGGCAGGAGTGCCTTGCAAGGAACAACATTTAAGACTCTCTTTAACAGCACATTTTTCACTTGACAAACTCCTCCTGATTCGTTCTTTCTTTCCAATCCTCAGCACTGATGGCTACTGCTTCACCATAATAGAAGAAGATGAATCTGGTGGACATTTAGTCACCAAGGGATGTCTAGGATTAGAGGGCTCAGACTTTCAGTGTCGGGTAAGAAAGCATTTGCTCTCTAAGTTTTGTTTGGCTTTTCTGGTAGCTTTCAGTTGGAGCGCAGTCAACAGGCATTAAGATGTCCATCTTTGGCACTTCTGTTCAGCTGGCAAATAGTTACTCTGCGCTGATTGCTGAGGGGTTTGCATTTTCATCCCAGGATGGTTTCTGACGGTGACACTATAGCTTCTTCTAGCAATAACTTTGTGTTCGGTTTTGTTGCTGCTGCTATTAATTCGTAACACCCCTGCTCAGATGAAGCTCTCATTTAGAGAAATGCAATCTAATTCTTGAAGTCTCCATGGTAGCTAAAATAAGTCAGGATGTTATTTTATGGACCACAGCAACCTTTATGCCTTACATGCAATTCCTCTTGGGTTTTGCATTTTTGATGCAGGAAATTCACTTAAGAGTGCAATAATCACCTACCTTAGAGCAAATCTTGCTGCAGCAATGGAAAGGGTATGGGCAATGGAGCAAGATGGCTGTAAAGTGTTTGCCCTTTCTACAGTTGAGCGTGAATGATTTTACATGAGTACAGAACAATCTAGCCACGGCAGCATCAAGGCCTGTAGAAGGGATTTTACCCTTGTTCCCATGACAGGTAAATTAATTCACACAGCGATTTCTCTATTAGTCTAGCTAAACTATTTTGAATACATAGGTTAACTTATTTATATAATGTAACTCCAACACATGCACATAGGTAACTGTCAGAGCTCTGTCTTGCACTGTTAGGGTCAGCAGAGCCGTTCTGCAGCACAAGAGCATCAACAGAAATGCACAAGGGATGAATTTGTCTCCTAATTATTTAGATAACACGTTTCTGGATACACAAGGTGGCACAATTCCTTACTCCACACATCCTGGAAATCTTTTTAAGACCGCAGTCCAGCTGACATGCACACCTTGCTATCAGGTGCCAGAATGACAGCGTACCTTTACAACACAGATAATTACTGCATTTTCTGTGACATTTTTGATTGCAGGACACTCCCATTCCACACCAAAGAAGATCTATTGAATGTTGCACGGGTCAAGATTACTGTAACAAACATCTTCATCCTACGCTGCCGCCTCTGAAAAATCGAGGTAAGGGGAAGAGGTGATTTCAGCCCCAAACTGATCTTTTCCTGCTGTTGCTCTTTGCACCTCAGAAAGAAACAAAGGCAAAACCAAAGCCCCCTCCAACAGTGCACGATTAAAAAGAGGAACTGTATTAAAAAGTTGATCGGGATTACTTTAGGTCAGAGAGAGCAGTGCTGTAGCTGATACCTACTATTATTTATGTTGCGTAAGTGCAATGGACATGAGATGCGTTAGAGTTGCATGATATTGCCTTAGCGCAGACATGCACACTAGCAGTCATCCAAGCATCTAGGTCAGTTGTGGCCTCTTGCTTTGTGTGTTTTTAGCTTCGTAGTAAACCTTGAGATTGAATCCTCTCTCTGCTGCTGCAATATTCATTAAAAATGATTGTTGTTCATACCTCCATAGTAACTTGCGCTGTACACATCTGAGACCAGACATAGCTTAAAATAGAGGGCAGAGTAACAAGTCAAGCAACAATTTTCTTAATTTGTTGTTTGAGAACAAATGGAAATGTGTTAACCTAATGGATTCCGGGTAAGACTTGGGTTGGGTTGTAGCTTGTCTTCCTTAAATATTGCTTTCTAAAAGTTGTTGCAACAATTTTGGCTGGGTGTTGCAGAACGTGTTTTTTTTTAAAATGGTGATTCCTAAGCAAATGTAACGCTCACCCAGGATGAACTCTTGGCCTTGGCCACGATGGCAAAGAATCGTGGTGGTCAGCATAAGTCTAGTCTGTGCGAATCAGTTCATACTTGCAAGAGAATCTGTAATCATTGCGTTCAGTTACGATGGGCTGAAAATCCAAAGCTATGCTCAGATGCACCCTTACTTACACAAACAGCAGATGCCCAACTGCTCAGAGAGAGCCTTCACTCATTCAAGCAGTTCTTCTTGCTCTATGAAATTCTGCACAGATGGGCTGCTGAATCAAGCCTGTGGAGGGTAATATGTAAATATTTGCTATCAAGCCATTAAGTCAGTGAAGCCTCGTAAAATTTTGACTCCCAACATGTTACTTTTTTTTTAATTTTTTTTTTTTTTGGAAGTTCTTTGGACGGCGAGAGAAGCCCCGAAAGGAGGTCAATATTTGTTCACACTTATTTAGGATATCAATAAATGTCATTTCAGTTTTGAAAATGATGCCATTATATCTTCATGTTGCTGACTGAGTTCGTTCCATGTTAAAACCAGTTTAAAAATACTGACCGAACGTCTAAAACTAAGCATCTGACTTACTAAGACTTTAGCTATCTGGCTGTCCAATCTGCTGCTTATACCCAAAGCAATAAAACCAGCTTTTGCTAGCGACAGAAGTTATTTGGATAGGTTTGGAGTTTGCTCTGTGCGTATAATGGATAAATAAAGCTTGGGCACTTGGGCACAGTGGTGGCAGACCCATTCAATAGCAGAGAGAATATTTGTTGAAAGGATAATTTTGTAGCATTGGAACAGGACTCTGCCTGCTTTATGTTGCAAAGTTGTCTAATTTATTATGACAAACAAAAGGCAATGTATTCATTCAACGTATTTTGAAGATTTTTGTTTGAAATAAGCTCTGCAATACCAGTATCCTATCTGTTAGTATATTGGGGAAATACATTCAGAAGCTGCTTCGTAAAATGTGGCTGAACAGGACTGAAGTCAGCCCCTTCATTAAAGCCTTATGCAAGTACGTCATACTTGGTGCCAGACCTGTTTTAATTTGCCACTGCCACATCCTAGTATGAAAGCTCAGGGAAAAGCCGTAGTTTGAGCTGTAGATGCTCACTGCAACCCTGTGCAAAAACTGTGTGCCAGTCATCACTACGACTGTGATCATTTCTTTCTGTTGGAAACATTTAAATTAGGGTATGATTGAATGAATACTCTTAGAATTGTAAATCAAACTTAACATAAACTGTGAGTTCCAGGGGAAAAAAATTTTTCTTTAAAAACAAGCTTATAGACACAACCTCACAACCTCTAGGATTCCATGAAAAATATTCTACGTTCCTCAGCATTTAAAAACAAAAGAAAGTTTGCTTCTGGTGAACTTATGTCCAAGGTCATCTCTCACGGGAAATAGAGTCTGGGGAGATCATCCAGCTGCAGGTCAGAGGTTGCTGAACTGCAAATTACCAAGGTAACATCTACAAAGGCGAGCAAATTGTGCCCTGAAAGTGTTTTTCCCGACCTGGCATGTGTTGGAAAGGGGGCTTTGCCCTCTCTCTGTGAGAAGAAAGGAGGACCACATGAGTGAAAATGGGAGCTGGAAGAATTAACACTCGTTGCAGCAAAGCTCTGTTAAGCAAGGTGAAACAAAGTAGCAACAGCTAAGCTTAAGTTTTGACCTCATCCTGGTAGCAGACCTGGCAGGATAAAATACCCCGGAGACACCATGAAGTCCTCTTCCCAGTTGTGCGTCTGTCTTATTAAGGAAATGAGAATCATAATTGGATCTGATACAACACCTCTATTTTAAACAATAAAAGATATTCCTGGAAATCCCAGTGAAAGTGCAGCCTGAGACCAGTCGCAAGGAGAAATATGTCTTTACTGATTTAAAGCCTCTATAAGCGAAGTGGTGGTGCCACCGTGTCTGGCTCCCTGCCTGTAGCGCTAGTGATGAATGGGCAAGGGAACGACTGGAGGAGTGATGGGGTTTGATGTGTGCACACAGTCTCCACGCCTCAGATTTCACCGCCGGTTTTACCGAGATAGCCTTAACGTTGTGAGCTGGAGGGACCCAGGGAGGGAGGAGAACCTCCCCCCCCCTTTACTACGCCGACTTCGCCCGTGAACCTGCTGCGTGGCATTTTCAATGCATGCGTCAGCCCAGCCCCACAAGTGGCCAAGCGAGCTGAAGAAATGGTGAGAGTAGAGGGCAAATCACAGGAAAGCAACCAAAAGGCTGCTTGATATCAGTGAAGAGCCCCCTTTTGTCCCCATCCCCCCCTTCCTCTACTGGTCGCAACGACGGACCCCTGCACCCATCACTGCTTTCTTACAACACACAGTTGTCCTCTGCTCTTTGCTGGGCTTTGCTCTTAGCCATGAGCCAAGGGATGCGAAAAAGCTTCCTGAAATTGCTGCTGGCTTGTTTTGTGCCCGCCCTGCACAGCTAGCTAATATATTGCTCACTGCTGCCGCCTCAGCAGCAACTGCTTACTCTCATAACCCCACTGCTTGGCATGTTGCGTTGCCAAGTAGCATAACACTAAAAATCACAGCACCGCCTTGAACTTCTTAAGAACGGAGTATCTGGATCACACCAGCCGGTCCCGCCCCAGGCGTAACCGCAGAGCCCGCAAGGCAGCGAGCAAGCGGACTCCAAGGCTGAGCTGCCCTGTCCCTCTGCCTTGCCCAACAAGTGATCCCACCTGCTTCAAGTGGTGCTGGGGAAGGGAAGTTTGTCCTGCTGCTCTATGGGGAATAGCCTGCTCTGTAGGAGAACTGGTCACCAGCAGCACCGGTCTGGCTCCGTTCAGCAGAATAAAAAGACGTTGCAAATATAGGAATGGGATCTTTCTTTTTTTTTTTTTTTTTGGTTAACCATGTACCAGCTGGTTTATGAAGTCCTCAGATGAGCCAATGAGCCAGCAAATGAAATTCTGCCAAAACACTTTGAAAACGCAGGAAGTATTTGAAAGGTGAGACAATAGCTCACTTATCATGAGTATCGCCTCTCATCGTACATAGCCAAATTAAATATGAAAGCAGGCGGAAGTTATTCTCCTCTTTTGCGAGAGCCCGTTGCAGGCCCATGATGTGCAGGGTGAATCATTAATAAAGCTACGTTTGCTGACTTCAGTAGCGTGGGGGAGATAAGCTCCCGAGGCAGTATAGTCAGCAGCGTTACTGTGGTCTGCGTGAGCCGTTCCCAACTCCGAGACCACACACAATCCTCCGTGTCTCGCGTGCTTTCTTCACGCTTGCGTCACGTAATTGCCTTTGGGTACTGAAGAACGTTGACGTTTTGGTGTGTGATGCATTTGGATGAAGTCTTCTGATCTTTAAGAGCTCCACAGCGCTTTCAAAGTGCCTCTGGGAAAGTCAGCCATGTTTGTTTAGTTGTCTGAATTGGAGAAGCCCACTGGAAATGTTGGGCACGGTGTTTGAGTCATTTAAAATGATCATAGTCTGGCTAACATTTTGACACCTTGATCATCCATCGCCCAGACTGACATGCACACACGAGCAGCATGAACAGTCTCGGTGCATTAGGAGTGCTGGTAGTGCAACACTTTGGGCGCAGATCCGCTGACTTCCATTGCTTTGCTCTCTGGCACACACAGATATAAACAATATCCGAATTACTCCCTCTGCATCTGACATGAGCATTCATTATTCCTGAGTACAAAGGCTTTTATACTCAACTTTCATCGTGATTTATTCTGTGAAGTGGGAGAACTTGCGCTATGGGTAAATTTCCAGGCTCTCCCAAGTATAAAATGCGCCGGTATGGTCTGCATGCTCTATTTATCCTCTCCTCGGCTGATGGGCTGCGACATCTTAAAACTGTTAGAAACCACACATTTTAGAGGGGAATGACCGGCAGACACAGACTGCTTATAAACCATGAAATAGAGCCTTCACCCTCCCGAACAGCCGTCCCCTTCACCAGCGAGGTCTGATTCCCCAGCGGGCTCTCGGTTTCGGCTCACAGCACACCCAGAGCAACAGGCCGGGGCGAA